CCCCAAAACCCCAAAACCCCAAAACCCCAAAACCCCAAAACCCCAAAACCCCTAAGCATGCACAGAATATTGAAATTGGGCACTCAGGTTCTGATATCTGGGGATTTGTGAGAGGAGTTTTGTTAAAGGAGAGAACTTTGGAGTTGGGGGTGGTGTAGAGTAGGGTTTTGGGGGGGTTTGAGGGGTGAGGGAAGTAGAGGGCAGGTTGGAGGGGATTTTAGGGGGTTTTGTAGAGGGTTTTGAGGTGTTGATTGGTGATGGTTTAGATGGGGGTGTTGGAGGAGATGATCTTAGTAGCCGTGTAGGGACTTTTAGTCTTTTATTTTTATGAAATCTCATTTTTTGTAGATGAGAGAATATTTATATTGGATTTAGAAATGTAAGCGCATGCTGTTTTTGCCAAATATTCGAATTTTGTGAAGATATGAAGTATAAGTAAAGTTCTATATAATAAGCTAGGAGAGACAAGGCTTGGGGCTTTATTATATTTCTAATTTCTCCCTTAGAGGATAACAAACTAAAGATCCAAGAACTGGCTTATCTTTTAAAGTATCGCCAATGGCGTAAAAGATGTCTTAGGGTTACTACATTTGGAATTTAACATATTTGTGAAAATTTAGGGCAAACTTATATATGAGCGGAAGAATTTTTGCTTGGTTTCAGATATTCTTGTGGGCAAGTATCATAATCTTTCAACAAACTTTCTTTGATTTCAATGGATTCTATCTTTGATGGACCTGGTGTATCCTCTTGTTGGAGATCTACGCTTTCGGAATTCGTCGAGATTCTTCTGTCTAAAATTGAAGATTAGTACTAATATGAGAGGGAAGCTACTATAATTCGCACAATTTTCAGCGAACTAGAGGTCACTAGTCTGACTTACAGGGCTGTAGCACAGGTGAATCATAGTAAAGCTCAGGTTTACTTGTAGTGGCTCTTGCAGTGATATCCGTATAGCTAAGATCATTGGAAACATCTCCTTCAATTGCAGAACTCTTCATATCTTTGTATTCTTGAAGTAATAGATCGACTTGGTTGGTTAAGGCTAATATTCTGCTTCTATAGGTACCAGGATGTGGCTCGGATAGCCGCCAATTGGTATTCTTAAATCTTTTGCTTGATCCTAGTCAAAGAGTCTTGATCCTGGTCGAGCTTCAAGAGGTAGCAACTCTCGTCGGTGAGCTTATGGTCAAAGGTGAAATGCTCAACCATTCTTTCAAGTGTCTTCAGCATGCTGAGATTAGTGTTCATGTCTTTGGTATACTTCTTAGTTGAGGATTTAGGGATTCTTTAAGAATTGAGAGCTTCCTGAAAAGCCTCATTTTGCTCCTTTCAAAGGTTCAGTCCTGGAATTTTGGATGATGATTGAGTTTTTGTCTAACATATTGTCAGAGCAACAATTTAGAGAACTCTGAGAGCAACCCATTTTTATTTTTAATTATTATTTTTGTTTGATTTGAGACTTTGGGTCTTGCGCTTGTCTGATTTGAGTATAAATTTTTGAACATAGGAGAGAGTAGTTAAGGGTACAAATGGAAATATGCCTGTTTCAAGAAATTTTGAGGAATCTTACAGTACTTTTTGCACAGGTGTAATTCTCTTGGACGATTTTATAAATAAATTTACAAGGAAATAAAGTAATTAAAATTATCAAAAATGCGAATTTGGGGTTCTAAAGAAAAATCCGGACTACTTTTGCTAAAAACATAAAATTTCTTACCTCGGATCCAAAGCTCATTTCAGACCAATATCTCAATCACTCAGAACCATCTAGATTATCTCTGCATGATAAATTTTAAGCCCTTTTTTCTCTCATAACTAGCGCATTTTCAGCCAAATTCATTGCAAATGGGGTTTTGGGGTTTTGGGGTTTTGGGGTTTTGGGG